TAGGACGAGGACTCGGACTAGGACTAGGACCAGACCTGCGACGACAACGACGCCGACGACGACTACTCCTAATAATGCCGCTGCTGTTGCTGCTGCTACTACTACTACTACTACTACTACTACCTCTGCTACTACTACTACTACTACTACTACTACTACTACTGCTACTGCTACTGCTACTGCCCCTGCTGCTACTACTGCCGGTGCTACTACAACTACGACGACAGTGTTTGCGGCGATGACAACGACGCTAGTTCTGCTGTTACTGCATCATTCACGATTGGATTTCTGCCGCACAAGTCCGACCATCCGCTGGAGGTTCGGCTCTAAGAACACTTGCTGAAGGTAGGTCAGAAAAAACTGGAGGTCCTAATGCCGAGTGTTCAACTTGGTAAGCACAGCTATAGGTGCGAGGTAGTCATATCTATGTCTACCGCTAACCCACTTTCCCGCATGAGGCCACTAACAAATCTACGTCTATCTATATGCATGAACCCTCCGGGACGATCAGTTTCAGACTTCAGGGTGCCCGCAATTCTTGAATGTGGAGAGGAGCAGAGGTATGCAGCACTCTGCGACCGTTGCAAGACCAACTGCATTATCGTCACCATCATTGTCCTCGTCTCCTCGAAAGAACTAGACGACAGGAAAAGACCGACGCTAAACAAAACCCGAAAACAAAAGACAGTGAACATCGTCGTGTCCACAGCGACATGGCCTTGGCAGGCGACACCACCGGCCGCCATGCAGAGTTGTTCGGAAAGAACCTCTCTGCAATACAACCCTAGACCCTAAACCTAGGCACAAACGATTGCCAATTATATTGTACCAAGCGATAGCAGTAGTAGTAGTAGTAGTAGTAGTAGCAGCAGCAGCAGGAGTAGTAGTAGTAGTAGTAGTAGTAGTAGTAGTAGTGGGGAATCCTGAGGTCGTGATTTGAGTAAAGCGACCATCCCAAGCGAAAAGCCTGCGATCATCCCAAGCTCTGGGTTTAGCGTTTGGGATTTAGGGTTTGGAGTTACATGCCGTCCTACCACACCCGCCGCCCTCATCTAGAACCCTGGCAGGATAGCCGTGAGGATCATGTATTCGATGCCTTTTCAGGAACAGGGCTGTTAATACGGGCCCCGGATTATCGAAATTCCATGAACCCCAAATCCGACTCGTCTCAATCAAGCCTTGTCGACACTGTCTTTCTAAGAGTCTACGGTTTCAGGGTTTAAGGTGCAGGAGGCAGGACGGACATTTAAGGAGGCAGAACCCTAAACACCAACAAAGCTCATTCGTCTTGCATGATGGCTGGCAGCATCTGCACGCAATGTCTTGCCAGAAGCCCTGCCCCAAAACTCCTTGCTCTAAGCGGACAAGAGTCCAGCCCCAATCTCTGAACGGCAAGCTTTGTCGACCAAAACATTGACCCTCAATGCGAAAGCACCGGGCCTGATCGCTAGATACGGCCTGGGGTTGTTGTTTCATGATAGGGAAAGCCCCGCTCTCCTGCCTGTTCAAATTTCACTGGCCTCTCCCCGCCCCACCCCCTCCTGCTTTCCTGTGCCTTGCGGCCGTGCCTACTCTTCTCCTGCGGAAGGCCCAGGCAGACGATGCGAAGCGTTTAATATAGTGGCCTTAATCACTAGAACAGGGTTTTGGGGCTTATTCTACGATAACTCTCACACGGAACCCCCAAAAACAGTACTGGTAACTATTACCCTCCACACCCTAAACCCTGAACCCTAAGCCCTCAACCGTGGTATCCCCATGTTACAACGAGCCACCCCTTGAGAGTGCCGAGTGCCTGGGCAGGAGAGGCCTGGGACCTGGGCGCGTGAGCACCGCAGCCTGGGCCTCCTGGGATGCCCCAGGACCTGCGGAAGCTTCGGTGGCTGCCAGCTGCTTTTTGGGGAGGGTTTAGGGTTTAGGGTTTAGGGTTTAGGGTTTAGGGTTTAGGGTTTGGGTGGGTTGTGGCTTTTGAAGTTGTGTTTCCGTTCTTGTTTCTTAGGCGGTTTTATTGGTTTAAGGAAGTTATGTGGTGTGGTGCTTCTTGCTTTAGAAGGTTTAGCCTTCGGGCTTTGGGGCTTGGGTACTTTATTTCAAGTTTACCCTCTAAGGGGTTAGGTCACGGAACTCGAGAGCTCAAGCCTTCGTCTCTGTCACAATAAACACAGCAACTAGCGACATGTTCGTTCTACGGCAGCGACGATAAGAAATGAAAGGTGGCCGGCTCTACAAGATTTGTGATTTACGAACCTGGTCGGATGAGCTCCGAGGGTGCAACATTTGATGAATTGTGGGACCGTTGGCCCAATTTGCACGTTGCGGCGCCCGCATTTCTTGCAGATTCTATAGCAAAGACAGTGTATGATACCCGATCCTGAGGTTCTGCACCCAGAGGTGAGGCAAACGGGGAGAGAAAGGCAGACATCAGAAAGCTCACGGGGTCACAGCGAAGCAGTCCAACGGGCAGAAAACCTAAAGTGCGAAAGCACAAAACTAGAAACCCGACGGTACATCCTGTCCCCAAAGCTGGCAGCAACAAAAGACCCAATGCCCTGGAGCTCAGCTCGGGAAGTCCCGAAATTTCCGAACCACAAAAGCCTTAAGTCTTGAAAGAGCGAAATCCTAAGTCCGAAACCCTTCTGGAAACCCATGTTTCGGGTCCAGTATAGCAACCTTTAAAATACGGTACAAACTGAGATTATTTAATGTAATGAGAAAAACAGCATAATATCATATAACATGATATAAGAAAACATGCTATACTCAGCTATAATATGACTTGGTGTAGCATAATGTAATGTAAAATCATGTGCAATGTAATATAACGTAATCTAATGCAGTCGAATGTAGTATAATGTAGTATAATGTAGTATAGTGTAAGATAACATTGTACCATATAACATAATACAGTATGACATGATATATAATGGAATGATATGATTTGATTTGGTATGATATCATACAATTTAACAAACAGTACAAGTATAAGGTGATATAATGTAATATGATATGGTGTAATATAACATGATAAATTCTAATCTAACACAGTATAACAAGTTTTAAACATTATAATATAACATGTTTAGTTTGTTTTGATACAAGAAAGTATAACAAGGCATAATACAATACAGTATAATGTTTAAAAAGTAGTATAGTAAATAGAAAAGAACAGAATAGAATGGAAGAGAATGAATACGATGGAAAAGAACGGAATAAAACAGAATAGACCAGGATAATATGATACGATGTGACATAATATATAGAACTCTCCTTGGAACCCCAAGCCCGGACCCCAGAGGCCTCCTGTCCCGGCAGTGGGCAGCGGAGGCGTCGCCAGCCCCCGGGAACTCGGCCTGCTGCAGAAGGGTACTACAAGGAACTGCAAGGGCTCTATAATTTCAAGTGCTCTATAAGGGCTCTAGGAGGGTATAAGGGTTTAATGCTTCTGAACGGCTTGTCCTGTCATGTCTTGCCTTGCCAAAAGGGCAGGGTGGGATCATTGGAGGGAGGCTTGAAAGCTGTTGCATGCTCTACCTGAGGATTGTCATACTGATTTCTCGAAGGTCTTATACGTGTTGCAAGGCTGTGAGTAGTAATGACCATTGTAGCCAGCTATCTATCTATGTGTATATATACAGTTACAACTCTAACTATGAATACTAGACAGATAGATAGATAGATAGATAGATAGATAGGTAGATAGATAGATAGATAGATAGATAGACAGATGCATAGAGAGATAGACAGAGAGATAGATAGATGCATAGATAGTTAGGTAGATAGATGGATAGATAGATGGGTAGATCGATGGATAGATCGATGGATCGATGGATGGATGGATGGATGGATGGATGGATGGATGGATGGATGGATGGATGGATGGATGGATGGATGGATGGATGGATGGATGGATGGATGGACGGAGGGATGGATGGAACGACAGATAGGTAGATAGATAGATAGATGGATGGATAGATAGATAGATAAATAGATAGATCGATAGATAGATAGATGGATAGATGGATGGATAGATAGACGGATTGATAGATCACTAAATAGATAGATCGATCGATAGGTAGATGGATAGAAGGATGGATAGATAGACGGATAGATAGATAAATAAATAGATAGATAGATGGATAGATAGATAGATAGGTAGATAGATAGACAGACAGATGGATAGACAGATAGATAGATAGATAGATAGATAGATAGATGGATAGAGACAGATAGTTAGATAGATAGAGACAGATAGTTAGATAGATAGATAGATAGATAGAAAAAAAGGTGCATCCCAAAAGACTTTTCCCAAATGTTTACATTCCTGCGGAAAGACAAATCACAGCAGCGGACCCGTGGGGCCGTGGACTAGTGGCACCTTTCTCCAGTCACTTGGGCAGCGCTGTTGTCACCACCGCAGCACTGCTGTCACCAACAAAGACAAAGGTGCCACCACGCGCTGCCCCAGGTCACGAGGTGCCACCACCAAACAAAGCGCTGCCCCAGGTCACGAAAGATCCGCCTTCGAGAATGGCAGCAAAAGCGCGTTCATTGGCCTGGATCTGCTGCACCATCTTGAGCTGATCCTGCACAGCACCGCTGTCGGCACCGATTTCTCGACCACCCCAGGTCACCACCGATCCATCGTCAAGAATTGCGGCAAAGGCTTCGCTACAGGCTTGGATCCGCTGAACGCTCGTCAGCTGATCCTGCACACTAGCACTGTTACCGCCGTCGATCCTGCTACCCCACGTCACAACAGATCCGTCGTCGAGAAGGGCAGCGAACGCCCGGTAAGAGGCTTGGATCTGCTTCACGTTCTTCAGCTGTCCCTCCACAGTACTACAGTCACCACCATAGAAATCATCACCCCAGGTTGCAACGGATCCATCGGCAAGAATAGCAGCAAAAGCGCGATCATTGGCTTGGATCTGCTGCACATGCTGTAGCTGACACTGCACAGCACTGCTGCACACCGCCGCAGGTAGCAGCTCCCCACGTCACTACAGATCCGTCACCAAGAATAGCAGCAAAAGCGCTGCGAGATGCTTGGACCTGTTGAACATTCCTCATCTCATCCTGCACGGAACTAGAGTCACCACCATTTTGAGCATCACCCCAAGACACGACGGCGCCATCACCAAGAATGCCAGCAAAAGCGCTGGCAGAGGCTTGGATCTGCTGCACATTCCTCAGCTGATCCTGCACCGAACTAGAGTCACCACCGTGGTCAGCAGCACCCCAGGTCACGACAGTTCCATCTTCAAGAATGGCAGCAAAAGCCGAGTCATTGGCTTGGATCTGCTGCACATTCCTCAGTTGGTTCTGCACGGCACTAGAGTCACCCCCCTGGCGACGATCACCCCAGGTCACGACGGATCCATCACGAAGGATGGCAGCAAAAGCACTGTAAGTGGCTTGGATTTGCTGAACATTCTGCAGCTGACCCTGCACAGCGCTGCTGTCTCCTCCATTACCAGCATCACCCCAGGTGACGACAGATCCATCGCCAAGAATTGCGGCAAAGGCTTCGCTAGAGGCTTGGATCTGCTGCACGTTCTTCAGCTGATCCCGCACGCCAATGCTGCAACCACCAGCGAGAGAGTTGCCCCAGGTCACGACAGATCCGTCGCCAAGAATGGCAGCAAATCCAGATCTGCTGCGACATGTCTGAATGCCGTTTATGTGCAAAGTCAGCAAGTCACCATTCTGCACTCTGGCATGCTTGATCGGCAAGCCCACATCGAGAATGCTTCCAGACGAGTTCAGCAGCCGCCCATTTCCGACTCCAAGTGCAGTCTGTGCCCGACGTTTCAAGGTTCCCACATCTTCATCCAGGCTTGCTTTCACGGAAGCTGTCTTGCCACTGAGCAATCCAACGTTCACAGAAATCGACATGGCAGACGCAACGAAGCACCGCAGTAAGGAAACAACTGGGTTTAAGGATTCACGGGGTAGCATAATTTGTTGAGGATGTTGTGTTTCGGATGCAGGGCTTGTGAGGCTGAGTTTGGGATCTACGGCTCACATGGCAAAAGGCTTCGAGTTCTTCGGCGGCGTCGTAGTATAGGGGCTCAGCAAAGTTTCATCAGGAGTAGGAGCACCCAACACCGATCCACTGGAAGCACTGGCGCAGGGGAATAGGACTTAGGACTTAGGGCTGGGTTTGCGGGGTTCAGGGCCTGAGGTTGAGGATTCAGGGCTTGCAGGGAGGATCGACACACGCTGGAATTCGCTCTCACATGAAGGCCTGCACTACACAAACAAACCAACTTGGAAAGAATACATATGCAACCCCCTGCTTGAAGTTTCATGGCTGGTCTTTCGACGAATCACAATATTTCCCCGGCTTGTCGGGTTTCTGTCGGGGAAAGATATACGGAATGTTCAGGAGAGTTTAAGGCTTCATGACGAGCGATGTGTAGTTCCTGAAATGCGTTCACTAGGGCTTTTGACGTTCATAAGCCCACCCAAACACGAGACCCCTGCGAGCGCTTCTATTCGATTTCCCTACTTCCCAGCACCCATGTTGTTTGAGGTAGATCTTAGTCCCGAACCCTAAGCAAGCCGCAAGACACGAGAGTCCTCGACGATACGCTCTAAGTCTATACGTGCCTATGTATATATATAGATGTATATACATAGATACATATGTGTACACACTCAGACACATCCACACTAGGCACGTTGATGCATGCACATATGTACGCCGCACAGATCTGCGCGTACGAACATCGACAAGTATTTGGTGATCTGATCTGCTCAATGTAAGATCTTCATATGGAATAAACCAAAACCGAGAAGACACACCGACAGACAGGGAAGGATGGACACAAGGTAAGAGGTGCCCTCCGACCTACCTCGACAAGCTCCTCTCTCTTTGCCTGCGCAGCAAATTCTCTTGCACCTCGGCGCAGGTTCAGAATTTAGAGAGCCTGGCAAGCTGTAGAGAACATGTAACACGCGCTTCATGAGGAAGACCCTATTCGCCAGGCCCCACCACAAAATCTCTCTTCTAGGAGTCAAGCTCGGGCTGCACTGCCCGGGTCGGAAAGGGTTTGATTCACTCCTGCGCCAGATCAAATTCTCAAGGCGGTGGGCCTGAGGTTCAGGGCTTTTGTGTGTCGCCAGCAATCGAGTGGTTCCTCATGCGCTGTCGCGGTCGCGCAGAATACACAGTGGGAGACAGAGATAACATCGTGGTCACGGTGATGATGTTGCTTCCCAAAATAGCACATCAGTCTCACAACAAACCTCAAATGTATAACTTCCCTTCTAAAACTCGTGCAACCCTGATCAGAGGGCACTTATATACCAGCAGCCGACTACAAGTCGCTACTTCATGCCTCAAGTGCCGAGTGCCAAAGCCCCGAAATCCCTCGGCAAGTCCTCCTGCGGCGCTTGCTTCGGGCATGCCATCAGGAGGGTCTGACACCTTGCAGGCACAGGGTTCCTGGACCTTCGCCAATTCTGGGATCTAGATAGTCTCGGCAGGGAGGTGAACAAGCTCGAAAAAGAAAGGAAAAAGAAGAAATGTAGCAGAAGGATCGAAGATTGTTCAGAGGGCCAGAAGATGATTTCGTGCGCCTAATCTGAATCCTGAACTTGCCATTGAACTCGTTAGCCTAAACACCGCCCCAAAGCATCGCTTGATATGCGGGGCGGTACTGTAATGATCATGATACAGGAGCCTTAAAAATTAGAATAGGGTTTTGGGGCCCCTTGTACTATGATTGCAATAAGGAACCGCCAAGCCCTAAACCCTAAACCCACAAACCCTAAACCCTAAACCCCCAAACCCTAAACCCTACTAAACTCTAATTATTACGGCCCCTATATTCGTTGCAAGACTTCGGCCCGAACCAGCCAGTCTCCCGCTGGAGGATGCCAGTCCATCACCTCTGGGTTGAGGGTTTTGGAGCTTAGGGGTGTAGGGGTTTAGGGGTTAAAGGTTTAGGGGTTTGGGGCGTTGGGTTTATTGAGGTTTAGGGTTTAGGGGTTTGGGATTTTGGGTTTTGGGGTTTAGGGTTTGGGTTTTGGCGTTGAGGCTTTAAGGGCTCCAGGGCTTCCAAGCTTAGGCTTTGGGGGCTTCACGGTGTTGAGGGGAGGGGCTTCCAGGGGCATCTAGGTCTTTTGTAGGCTTTTCGTTTGGGACCTGAAAGCATCTGGGCTCAGGGCTACCGGGCATTGGGGCTTCAGGGGTTAGAGGGCTTTCGGGCTCAGGGACTTTGTGCACTCGCTTTGGGTTGAGGTGTTTTGTGCCTGAGGATTCAGAAGGGCTTGAGGCTGGCCCGACCAAAGGTTTCCTCGCCAAGGCCCAAGCTCCAAAATCACCCTTATCTAGGACACCCCTCGCGCCGCGACAGCAGCAAAACAAGGTACATGTCAGAGGAGTCTGGGAAAACCCTTTACTGAAGGACTTCTTTGAGGAGAGTAGGGCTTGGGACTTTACAATTGGAAGTTCAGATTGAAGACTTAGGGTTTAGAGTTTGGGGTTTAGGGTTTTGGGTATGGGTGGGAGGGATATCCAGAAACACGAGCTGTAGTGGGAGAAATAGACAATCCGTCGGCGCCGGATTTTGGGAAGGCTTGTCGATCGTTGGCCTCACAAATTGCAGCAATTTGAGGTCTTATCTTGGAGTGCAGGGCACTACAAACTGAGAATTGCATTCGTTCGAGGCTTGAGCATATCCCTCAATACCGCGTGCCTCATGGCTGGCCATGGTGCAAGCTATGCCCGGCGATTCAAAGACATGCTGATGCTGTGGGAGGTATTCTGAGGCATTCTGAGTGGGGTGGCTGTGGATGCTTAGGATGAACTCGCAAGAGCAATGATTGGGACGGCTAGGAGCTAGAAGGAACTCGCGGAGGTTCACTGGTAATTCGAAGATGGACGACAAGCACATGAATCGGGGCGATGCGTTTTTACATCTGTGGTCGCCAACCAGTTGCCTGACATAGTATGACAGATTATTCTCATAGCCTCGTATAAGATCAAGTAAGAGCTGCAGACAGAAGCAACCAACAGGGCTCGACTCACGTTCCGTACCATCGAAGCGACAGCAAAAGCCAAGCTTGATAGCCCGCAAGTCGCAGAACAGCTGTAGGTAAGCCGAGTCTTTTGCCGAGGCAGCCAAAAGAGTCAGCACTCAGACATGGCTCCGCTGTAGCAGCGTTTCGCTGGGAGACTGACTTGCTGAACCGGCTCGATGGATGGCTCGGGGCTGTAGAATCGGACCCACCAGAGCCCCAGCATATGACAAGTGGATCTACGATCTAAGTTCTAAGCGTCTAGGACTCTCGGGATGTCTTCAAGCGTTTTTTATGCACACGACCCAGTTCAGTCTGAATAAGGGAGCAAGCACGTGCAGTTTGCACAGCGCTGCTCACGGGTTAAGGAAGGGCGCGATCTTCGAAGTAGGTCATCTCATAAGAGTATTCAGAAGCAAGCATCTCGTAGCAGCAGTAGCAGTGGCAGTGAAGGTGAGAGTGGCAGAGGCGATTCTGTGGCTGCGGCTGTATCTGTAGCCTGGCTGCAACTGTAGCTGTAGCTGGGGCTGTCGTCGTAGTTGTGGTCGTCGTCGTCCTCGTCCTCGTCGCCGTCTTCGCTGTCGCGGCTGCCGTATGAGGAGTAGGAATGGCATGGAATGGCAGCAATTGCGGTGGTGATGGTAGTGCCGGATTTGGCAGGTGGCTGTGCCGGTAGCAGCAGCAGTAGTCCAGGAGGGGCAGCACAAGGGATGTCATGGTCATGATGCTAGACTTACTAGACTGAGAGCACTGCTTTGTGAGGCCAATCGTCCTGCTGCTGGTGGTGGTGCTGGTGAGGGTGGTGCCTGGAGTGGTGGTGACGGTCAGTACGAGTTACTAGGAGCAATGGTGGTGATCCTCGTCGGTCGTCGTCTGGTGGTGATATAGACAGCTGCGGGACGTGCGCCTTAATCAGCAGCCATGGCAGCACGACACTCTGCGATCTGCAGCTGCAGACAAATGGCCATAGATTCGAAAAAGCATGCAAACCAGAGACTGTACCTCCACGCTGGAAGAGGCTGGAGCAAAATTTCGCAGCCTTCCTTTTTGCACACTGATGAAGCTACAGTGCTGCACCAGGCTCTGTCTGGAAAGCTATAAGCATGAATATACCTCTTGGTCTACCGCTCGGGGATTTGGGCCAGAAATTGACAGGCATAAGATAGGGCAAAGCCCCCGAGGTTTCAGGATGAAGGCGATGAAGGCACCCGTAGATGAAGGAAGGTTTGTGAAACACTGTCCGAGCACAAGCTACAAACCATTCACCTGTGGTTTCTTCGTGACAGTCTGTACTCTGCGCTGACTGTGCCTTCGACCACATTTCTCGCTGATAAAACATTCGACCCACAGGTACTGTAATTTGACTCGGAATTCCCGCAGGACCCTCTAGGGTTTTCTCAAAGAATCATGCCGCGGACCGTTATGCCCTTAGTTGTTACTGAGATCGCGTGACATGCCGCGGTGCTGCGCTGCTGAATGGCCACTCACAGGCCATCCTTCAGCTTTGCACCTCGGCATCGCAGGCGCAAAGTGGAAAAGACAGGCAGAGAGAGACTGTCGGAGATATAGCCATACAACTAGGTACACAGGCCAGTGCCTCCACCGTCCCCCTTCGCCCCGCAGACTTTCTGATGAGCCTCCGCATATCGGCTTTGACACACAAGGGTGGCGAAGATGGCGTGACAGCCCTGTGAAAACTGCACTCACCTGTTCTATCTCTCCCTCTCTCTCCCTCTCTCTGCGTCTCCCTTTGTCAACCCATGCCTTCCAGCCTCTCTTTTGACAGGTCCTGCGAGACACAGCGACAAAGAGCGGCAGCCCAGTCATTCAAGCGCTGCATGGCGAGCTCAGATAGCAGCGTGTGTGCATCTCCCGTTGGCACCGAAGAGCTACAAGCACCAGCAGTCTTGCACGGCTGGGCTACGTCACATAGGTGGTTTGATTTGCTGTGCTCGGATGATGAGGACTTGATCTTCGGCCCCGATTTCAGCTGGCCTGCTGCAGTAGAAGACCTGCTTGCACTGACACCTCAGACAGCATGCAGCGTAAAAGTGTAACAGTTGCCCCCCCCCCCCCCCAAGTTTACTCGAATTTCTGTGTCCTGGCGGGTGTTTATAGCCAGTACCACTGCCACTACCACAGCCACAGCCGCCCCTACCACTACAAGTACCACTGCCACACTATGTACCACCAGCACCACCACAACCACTAACACCACTAACACCAACACCACCACCACAACCAACACCACAGCCACCATCACCACCACCACCACCGCCAAGGCCACCGCCACCACTACCACCACCACCACCACCACCTCCACCACCACCTCCACCTCCACCGCACACTCTGCAACTGCGACTCCACTACGACGGCGACTACGGCTACTTTTCCTGTCACGAGGACTCCGTCAGCCACCACTTCAAGGCCGGGACTGGCTCATCTGCGACAGCCATCTCTTGCAGACGTCACAGCTGAGAGCCTGCCGTCCCGACCACGTCAAGGTCCCACTAACCTTGGGCTAGTGCCCTTGAGACCTAGCTACGAGACCCTTTCCCGGCCTGTGCAGGGAATCCGGACGTCGTCAAGAAAGTAGCATAATGGGTCTGCACGTCCTCCTGGCATGCAAACATGGCGGGTCCGAGGTGTTAGCATGAAACGACAGCGAAAAAGCTATGTGAAGATGTTTGCATTTCGGGTGTGCAGAGGAGAGAATCCGCAAACGGGGAGTCATGAGTTGACCATGAACGCGCACAGCAGTTGACAGAGGAGAGACTTTCAGCAACAGCTGGTCTAGACAGGACAGTGCTACAGACTGGCTAGTATCTGCTAGTCCGACTTAGTGTGCTGCTTCGCTTGACATATGAATGATCTGCGACACACGCACGAACACAAGCACATGCAGGCATGTGTAAACACAAACCCACACACACACACTGTGTCGGAAGGAGTGAGCATGCCAGGTACTGCGCTTGCTGATCGGAGCTCTGTACGACCTGACGAACATTACTAATAAGTTAGGTATATTGTCGTACTACTCCTTATTATTGTAGTTACTCTAACAATAATAATAAGAAGAATAATAATAGTAATAATAAGGCACTCCCAAAGTAGTATAGGTAATTATTAAGGCCCCTTTAAAAGGGTCCGGCCCCGGGGGCCCCCCCAAAGCTTCTCAAGCCAAAAGAGCGGCTCGCTTAGATGTAATTAGAATAAGGTTTTTGGGGGGGTTCCTTTTAAGGGTTGCGTAAAGGGTTCTATGAGGGCTACTATAAGGGTTTAGGGCCGATTAGGGTTTAGGGTTTCGTAATAATTAGAATAGGGTTTTGGTGGTCCTTATTATAATTGTAGTATAACATACCTCCAAACCCTATTCTAATTGTT